TAGTCCCAATAGCCCTTCAAAGGTATTCTCTTGGTGACCTAACTTCTAGTTACTAAATCCCACCTCTTAAGGGTTCCACCATCCCCTTCTAGGACCGAAAGCTAGTAAGCAAGCCTTTAACACAAGAGCATTGAGGAATGTGGGAAATACTGTGGCACTGACATGAGTTGATTCTAATTCATAAGGGAGCATATGGATCAGAGGGCCTTACACTAAACCCTGATGGGGGATGTATTTCTGTATGCTGTGAATATGTGTTTCTCTGATTGGTTGATGAATAAAGCTGTTTTGGCCATTGGAGAGGCAGGATTTAGCCAGCAGGAAATCCAAACAGGGATAGAGAAAGGTAGTAGGTGGAGTCAAGGAGATGCCATGTAGCTATCGAGGAAGCGAGAGGCCTAGGCATCACTGATAAGCCAAGACCATGTGGAGATACACAGATGAATAGAAATGGGTTAATAATTAAAAGAGAGCTAGCCAATGAGAAGCCTGAGCCATTGGGCCAAACGGTCTATAATTCATATAAGCCTCTGTGTGTTTATTTGGGACTAAGCAGCTGCTGGACTGGGCGGGACAGAAATTTCCTTCTACAGAACTCTATGCCAGCAGGAACCCGAGTAAATCCTCCCTGTCTTGTTTTGCCAGATATTTTGCCACAGTGGCAAGAATATTAAGGAATGCAAGCTCCCTGAGTTGGGGAGAGAGAGAACAAGGCAGAGGAAGGAAAGGGGTAGGTAGAGAGGAAATGATTATGCCAGCTGCAATAGCTCAGATGTATGTAAATAACACTTGCTGTGTGGCAGGTGGGATAGTAACTGTGGTTACACATTGGTCTGCTCAGTCTTTGTAGCAGCTCTGGGGGGGTGACAGTTGTCCCTCAGTGTCACAGAAATGGGCTCTAGGAGTCCATTAGACACTCAAGTCTCTTATATGAAATGGCATAGACCATTTATAGTCTATGCACAGCACAGCTTCCTATAGACTACAGACAATTTCCAGATTACTAGCAATGTCTGACATTATACATATCATGCTGTATTTACTGCATGTGTCGTATTGTATTGTTTAGACAATGACAACAAAGCTGATACATGCCTGGATGGGAGCATTTATTGAAAATATTTTTGGCTCCTCAAATACGGTTAGACAAATCTACAGCTGTAGAGGGCTGGTATGTTTATTCCAAGTAAACGGATGAGAAAGTGGATATGGAGAGATTAGGCCTTTGGGGTTTGCACCCATTCACTCAGCCTTTGAGGCCTGAGCTCTTACCAGTCAGGGAATGTGGTGGGCGTGATTCTTCCCTTAGCCATATGAAATAATTCATTCAGAGGACTCAGTGTGGTCTAGGTGACCAGGAGCTTGACAGCAGCTGGGGGAAGTTTGGGAATTTCTGAGACTTTGAAACATTGTGTCTGACAAACCTTAAAATTATGTTCAGAAGGAAGAAAAACACATTATCCACACGTTGAGGAAAAAGAAAGCTATTACCATCAAATATCAACAGTGAGCAGGGTGTGGTGGCACATGCCTTTAATTCTAGTACTTAGAAGGAAGATGTAGGTGTGTATCTGTGGGTTCCTGTGAATTCCAGGACAGCCAGGGCTACACAGAGAAACCCTGTCTCAAAAACAAAAACAAACAAAAACCCCCAAACAGACAAACAAAAAATCCATAGTGAAACACACACACACACTAACACACACACACGCGCACACACACATCACATCTAGAGATGACTGGATATACTAGACCTCTTAATACTTTAGAAATTTTAAAATATAAAATACTTTGTGTATGTATGTGCACATGTTCCCAAGTACACTCATATGCATGTGGGAATCAAAGGACAAATTCTTGTGAAGTCTGTTCTCCCTGTCCACCTTTATGAGATTTCTAGGGATCAAACCCAGTGGCAGGCTTGTATAGCAAATATCTTTATTTGCTGGGCCATTTTGTAAGCTCTAAACTTTTAACTTTACAGCCAATAAGTATGTACATAACGCATATGTTTATGGGGTTAGAGCTCAAGATGAGTTCAACCTCTGGCCAGAAGGAGCCTCTTCCATCTACAAAGGAGATTCATACTTGTAAAAAGGACCTGACACATCATTGAAGGTGGTTGGAAACTATTGCTACACATTTGCTCTAAATTATTGTCATCTGCTACAAAATTAATAGATTTGGTTGGGGTTAATGCTGAAATTAATGTTTTCAAAATTTTAGGACCCTTATAAGTGGACGGATAAATCTGTCTCAAGTATGTCTGTCACCTATAGAAGGAGCATTAGTCATGGTTGCAACTAACATGCCACATACCCACAGAGCACTTTCCCCAAAGCTTTCTCACTGGGACCCTTCCTGGTAGAGCCTGGTGAAGGCAAGGAGGGAAACTGGGCAGGATGAGAGAAGGTAAGGCCTGAGTCCATGCTCAGCCATTCACCCTCTAGTCTAAATTTTTGTCATCACCACTCTTTAATGCCTTCAGGGCAAGGATGATGCTGGTAACATCAGGTCTAAAGCAGCAAATGGCCTATGATTGGAGGATGCTGTTGTCCCTTGCCCAATAGCCAGCAGAACTTCTCCTTTTAAAGGAACAAAATAAATAAAAGGAGGAGGGCTAATTGTTTTCTACAGAGCTCTTTGGAGACCTGTTCTAGGTCAGGAAGAATTACTTGACACATTTCCTCCCATCATGCCTCTGAGTTCCACACAGCAGCCTTGCTTTGTGATAGTGTGATGGAGTTTGGACATTCATACTGGAGGGGAGGGGATAGAACACCCTCAGATGAGTCACTTTGGGCAGGGCAGGCATTGTTTAAAATCTGTGTTTCCCTGGCTATACACTAATAGATATCAGAGCTGGGTGCCCATTGGCGGAAGCAGGCTGCCTCTGGTTAATGCCCCAAACAGATGGTCTTCAGGAACCTGTGCCTGCCCTGAGCAACAGTCACTGTTCACTTACTTCCAGGCCACTTAGTGTCCAGAGCACACTGGGTGCTGCTTGTCTCTCAACACAGCATTTCTGCCTGTTGAGGCAGGCTCAAAGGGAAATTGTTGGAGGACCCAGAGAAGAAACAGTAGACAAGCCTCCCTCCCTGAGGTGACCTACTTAGTCTCTGCCTGCCTGCTAGGGGACCTCACATGCCAAGGCCATCCCTTCAGAGTCATATCCTCTGCTCCTCTTGGCCTTAACCTTCCACCATCAATGAAGCAACATAGACCAATGGGCAACTCTCTCTAGGAAACCTGTAAAAAAAAATGACATAACCAGTGACATTTTCCAAAGCAGGACCATTTCTGCAGAGCTTCTGGAAGGTTCTAGCTCATCATGAAGACCCAAGATATGGACCTGGAAGCAGAGTGTGGAGGAGATGGGGGGGCCAAGCCTTGTCCCTGAGAAGAGTGTCAGCTGGACAACCTATCAGTGGGTGGGTGGGAGAAAGAAGAATATTTAGGACATCCTTTCCCATCTGAGGAGGTATCTGCTCTGCGGCTCTGTCTGCCTGTTAGGATGCTCGGGATGAAGCAGAGCCCATGAAGATGGGACTTAGCCAGGGCTAATTCATGAGTGATTGGTATGTGGCTTCCACCTCAGCAAATGACCCAATATTAATTGGCAAGCAGGATCCACATTTACAACAGCATCACCTTAGACTTTATGGAGGCATTTTTGCTTTATAAACTCAGCCTGCTTTCATTTATACCTTCTCATTTCCTGTTCACAAAGCCAGCTTCAAGCCACCTATAATTACTTGATGTTTGAAGAAACTGGCTCCCAAAAGGAAAGGGTGGAGGCTCCTGTTTACCTGTCCACTGTTCCAGACCCTACCAAGAACAACTCCTGTTAGTTCAGCTCTCACACCAAGCCTTTGAAACTCACCCAGGGTTTCTACTCATAGAAAAGAAGGCAGGTTCCTTGGCTTTCTGGCTTTGTAGCTAGTCAGATTTTAAACCTTGCTTTTCTTACAGGAAGAATCAGGGCAAAAATGATGCCTATTGTAGAGTAGCATTAACCAAAAATGTGGGCCACACCGGTATATTTCCTGATAAGATTTCAAACACTATCCAAACCATGACCATTGTGACCTGTTATCAGTGGAGTTCTTTGGCTAACTTACCAAGTCCACGAAAACCATTGTGTATTTCACACAGCAACATCCCAACTCAGGAAGGGACCATGTGTTTCAATAGTTCAATCTGTGGCTAACAGCAACCACAGGTTTGGAAGGCATACACTTGACTTCTCCACCCCACCCCACCCCCGTGCTGTATTTGATTCCTCCTTTTCTCTTCCTTGCTCTCTCGCGAGAGGAAATTTCAACATTTAAGAGGCTTTTAGGATCCAAGAGTTCAGAGCAGGCATGCGACATACCTAGTTCGGAGCACTTTTCCTCCCCTCACCAGCAATCGACCTGCAAGTGCATAACCTTGCTGTCCTTGAAGAAGCACCCCAGCACCTCTTCAGAACCGCCCCTCTTCCTCCCAAGTGGTACCCAGTCTACCTTTTAACTCTCCCTCAGTTACCACCCAGACTTGGAAGAATGGAGAGGGATTCAATCCCCAGCCCAGGATTCAGGCGCTCAGATTGACATCTAGTGAAGGATGCGTCTTAAGTTCTGGGCCCCATATTCAAGGGCGAGGTCCTGCTACTGGGGAGACAGGACCCCAATCTCTAGTCCCTGAGTGGTGGGGAGTGGGCGGGGTGGGAGAGGAACCGTATTAGGACCCAAAAGTCTGGCCAGTGGCCGAGCAACTCAGGTGGACCTGAGGAGAAGCCAGTAGGATCGACCGAGGGACGCAGTAATGCTGGGGCTGGGACGCAGGATGCTGGGCAAGAGCCCCTACACCTCGCACCGCGCCCCGGCTCCCTCTCGCGGTGCCGCAGTCCCTACCGCTCCACCCCTCGGCCCTGCCCCCATGACGTCAACGCAGACGGGCGGGTCCCCGGGTATAAAAGCCTGAGCTGGGGGAGGGCGACAGGTCTTTGCGCTCCCTAGCCCTCTGTCCACGCATTACTCTGAGGGCCAGCGCCTCCATCCCTTCTGCAGCCAACATCATGCGCGAGATTGTGCACATCCAGGCAGGCCAGTGCGGCAACCAGATCGGCGCTAAGGTGGGCGCACCCCTGGGGAGGGAGAGGGTGGAGTCGCCCTCTCGGGCGGGGGTCTCAAGGTTGTGAGCCTGGGACAAGTCGAGCCTAAGGGCCCCAGAGTAGCTGGGGCAGGTGACGCATTCCGCAGCTGGCTACTGGGCGGGCCAGGTCCTGAAAGCCTTTCAACCTGCCACGATGTGCGTGACAGGGTGTCTTAAATCAAGGTCCTTTATATTGCTTTCAGACACAACCCTTTTGCGTGGTGCAGCTGACATTCCTCTGGGTTTTTTTGTCTCTGAAATTTGGGTTGGGGGAGGGGGACTGTCAGATGGGTTGAGAACCTCATGCTAAATGTAATTTGTATATATTTTTTAAAGTCTGTCATATGAAGGAAAAAATGCAAAGTCATTGAGTTGACAGATGTTACAGAGGCGTCTCTTTGGGCCAACAGACAAGGGTGTTAGACAAATTCGCTTACAAGTGCTGCTCCAGACTTGACATCAAATGCATGGTCGTCTTTCTGTGAGACGGCAGATGACTGCAGGGAATTGGGGCTGCGAGACCTGGAGACAGCAGTGGGCATTCAACATGGGTGTGGGCGGGTGCCTGTACAAGGACATGGTCTCTTTCAACACCGCCATGTTGCCCACCCAACCTCCCCACCCCCTTTCCTGCTGCCAAGTCACAATGGAGGCTGCATCCTTAGGATGGCCAGTTTTTTCAAGGGCTGCCAGGCACTCTCTTAGGATTGTGCTGCCCATCCCCATCATTCCTAGCCCAGGGGCAATACCCGGAAGCCAATATGTAGGTCAGTGGTATAAAACTGGGCTGTCGAAAGCTGCCATGGAGTCTGTGCCAGAAGCCATTGATCCCATGAGGCGCAGGGGGGTGGGGCACCTGGTCTTTCCTTCTGCCCTTCCCCATCCATCAGCCTGTATGTAGTAACCTGTAGGTAGTAATATTTAGCCCTGTCTGGAGTGAAAGAACCTCTGCCTCTGCAGTTCTGGCAGGGGATCTGCTGTGCCCACTTCCTTCTCCAGGCTCCTGCCAGCCCCGCATCTGTGGTCATAATATGGCCGATGCACTGCGCATTTCCAAGACCCTCTGCAGCAGCTGCTGCCCACACACACAGGGGCCAGCAGCTCACTGGGCTCTTGCCTGCTGTTTGATCAAGGCCTTTCTGGGTGACAGTTAGAATCCTAAGTCTGATATGATTCCCTTCATTTCAGTTTTGGGAGGTGATAAGTGATGAGCATGGCATCGATCCCACCGGCAGTTACCATGGTGACAGTGATTTGCAGCTGGAGAGAATCAATGTGTACTATAATGAAGCTGCTGGTAAGGGTTTGGATGTCAGCCTTGCTTTCCATACTGTGGCAGGGGCAGGGGCTAGGAGCATGCAAATAACACAGAAATGCTTTCTGCATTCTCATTTAAAATGTCAACTTCAAAATAGATAAATAAAATCACTTTGCAGCCCCTGAAGACCTCTGCATGTTTGATGTGATTAAGCATGCTTCATTTTCCTTTTCTTCCTTTGTCTCAGTGCTGGGATTTCTGTAATGAATTCTGCTGCTACATCTTTCTCCCTGTCAAGCCCAGTTGTAAGTCAGCTCTTGTCCCCACAGGCAACAAATATGTACCTCGAGCCATCCTGGTGGACCTGGAGCCTGGCACCATGGACTCAGTGAGGTCAGGACCCTTCGGCCAGATCTTCAGGCCAGACAACTTTGTTTCGGTATGTTGTCATGCTCCATGAGAGCCAGCCAAATGACTCACCCCTTCCTAGCAGCCATGGGCTTTACAGTTGTGTGTGCAGTGCCCAGCTGAGCCTGTGTCCACAGACCACAAGTCCTGGCCTAACCTGTGCAGCTGACTCTTGACAGCTCAGAGGAGAGTGTGTGACTGTAGAGGCTGTTAAAGGCCTCCATGAGGAGCAGCTCTGGGGGAGGGGTGGCGAGGGTGACAGTCTTCAAAGAGGATATTACAGGCAGCAGGTGATTTCAAAGGACCATTGATGCCAGGTAACCACTTCAATGACCAAGGTGTAGTGCTCCCTTGCCTTTCCTCTTTAATTATAGCTAATTAAGAGTATCTACTGAACGTTCCCTGTGTTTACTTTTAGAATCTACTGAGTATTGTTAAAATGTGTCCTCTTCAACTCAATTCTTACTTTATTGTGATCCCCGGGGTTCTTGAGGTCATTATTACACTTTGAGATCATTGTTACAATATTTCCTTCCCTTAAAACAGTGTATCTAAAAGACTACTAACTGTTCTCTCTAAGGCCAGTTTTTCCTTTTCCTTCATAGTCCAACAACACCAACCTGAATTCCTAAGTATCTAATATTCTCTTTCTCTCTTGCAGGCCAGAGTGGTGCAGGAAATAACTGGGCCAAAGGCCATTACACAGAAGGCGCTGAGCTGGTGGACTCCGTCCTGGATGTAGTAAGGAAGGAGTCTGAAAGCTGTGACTGTCTCCAGGGCTTCCAGCTGACCCACTCACTGGGGGGAGGCACTGGCTCAGGCATGGGGACCCTGCTCATCAGCAAGATCAGAGAGGAGTACCCAGACCGCATCATGAACACCTTCAGTGTCATGCCCTCACCCAAGGTCTCTGACACTGTGGTGGAACCCTATAATGCCACCCTCTCCGTGCACCAGCTGGTAGAGAACACAGATGAAACCTATTCCATCGACAACGAGGCCCTGTATGACATCTGCTTCCGCACCCTCAAGCTGACCACACCCACATATGGCGACCTCAACCACCTGGTGTCAGCCACCATGAGTGGGGTGACCACCTGCCTGCGCTTCCCAGGCCAGCTGAATGCAGACCTGCGCAAACTGGCCGTGAACATGGTGCCCTTCCCACGCCTGCACTTCTTCATGCCAGGCTTTGCACCTCTGACCAGCAGGGGCAGCCAGCAGTACCGAGCCCTGACAGTGCCTGAGCTCACCCAGCAGATGTTCGACTCCAAGAACATGATGGCCGCCTGCGACCCGCGCCATGGCCGCTACCTGACCGTGGCTGCCATCTTCCGTGGCCGCATGTCCATGAAGGAGGTAGATGAGCAGATGCTCAACGTGCAGAATAAGAACAGCAGCTACTTCGTGGAGTGGATCCCCAACAATGTGAAGACAGCCGTGTGCGACATCCCTCCTCGAGGCCTCAAGATGTCAGCCACCTTCATCGGCAACAGCACTGCCATCCAGGAGCTGTTCAAGCGCATCTCGGAGCAGTTCACTGCCATGTTCCGGCGCAAGGCCTTCTTGCACTGGTACACGGGCGAAGGCATGGATGAGATGGAGTTCACCGAGGCAGAGAGCAACATGAATGACCTGGTGTCTGAATACCAGCAATACCAGGATGCCACGGCTGATGAGCAGGGCGAGTTCGAGGAGGAGGAGGGCGAGGATGAGGCTTAAGAACTTCTCAGACACATTGTGCACCCTTAGTGAACTTCTGTTGTCCTCCAGCATGGTCTTTCTATTTGTAAATTATGGTGCTCAGTTTGCCTCTGTCAGAAATTCACTGTTGATGTAATAGTGTGGACCTTCTTTCAAGATTACAGTATTGTCTAAGATATCTATACTAATAAAAAGCATGTGTATAAAACCTGTGGTTCTTTTCTCCCTTAACATCCTATATATTTTTTTCTTTTGAAATACAAAAATTCAGGGAATAGTACTGTAGGACTTCTGCTTAGTGTTTTAATTGTTAGCATTCCAGATAGCCTATGAACTTGTAGAATGAAGGACTAACACAAACCCAGCTTTTGACTCTTATGCAATAAAAGCCTGTTTAAATGCAAGAAGTCCTAAAATAGCAAACACAAACACTATGAATGTTTCACATGAAATTTATTTGAAAATAAATTATGGTAAGAATTAATTTTAAGACAATGATAGAAACGCATAATTTAATGTTTAAAATGCTCATATTCATTTTTTGCAGCTATTAAAGCTATATCCTGACTCAGGTATGCTATTTTTCCTGCTTGCATAGAGTCATATCATGGGAAGTATAGAAAGCCTGGCAGGTCTGTGAACTGAGGATAAAAGCAAGGAAGGCATTTTGGAGCATCCTGGTAACAGACAAGGACATGATCCCCTCAATACAGAATCATCCAGAAACCAAATGCTTCTTTTAATTTCATTGTAGAAAGTCTTCTGCCAACTTGTTGAATTCATTTGCAAAACGTAAATGCAGATTATGCTTGCCTTCTGGCATCAGATGCAACCTAAGAAACAAAGCAAGCTTTGGGTCAGTACTATATATATATATATATATATATATATATATATATATATATATATATAAATGCTTTCACCTCATCAACACTTCATGAGAATCTTTCAGAACTAAATAAACTTCCCATGAATATGAATCCCAGGGTGAACTCCTTAAGGAAATTCTGACCACCCCAGACATAGAGCAGAAAAGCCATCACTAAACAGTGACAATGTTTGGGATTGTAGCTGATAACAAAAATGGTTTGACTGGAAATTAGTGGAGAGAGTGACTTGGTAATTACTCTAAAAATCCATTTTTAACAAGTGTGTGTGTGTTTTAAAGAGACTATTGGGGAAATGATTACAAAAATATTAGGGGTGATAGTTACTGACAGTAATCTTAACTCTTAAAAGAAAAATGGTAAAAATGAGAAATGGTCAGAATTCACTGAATTGCACAGGTGAGTTTCTGGGGTGTCTGCATAGCAGGTAAGACAAACAAGAACTCTCAGCCAGTGGCAGCCTCCATTCAATGTTCCAAGCCATCCTGTCATGTTCAGAGTGCAGAGCAAGTAAGCCTGACTACTGCCTGCAGACAGATGGAGAAACGCCTTAGGAATTTTGGGTGGGTGATGGGGTTCATCAGCAGCCATGTGTGCAGAACCACTTCTGCAGCTGTCACATCGTGTCTTTAGTGGACCCCTCTGTCCTGGAAAGGCTTCTTAATTTTAACCTGATTGTGGTCAAAGAGGACTGATTTGAAAAAAAAAAAATACAATTTAAAAATCTAATTTATTGGCTTCTAACGTGTAGAAACAGAGATTAACCAAAGCTTTTGGGAGGCAAGCTCAAGTTCAAGTCATGTTGTCTACAGTGACAACTGGGTGTCAAAAGAACTGGGCTGGAGCAGAGAGAATTCCAACGACAGTCTTCACTTCTCTGGTCTTTCAGCAGCAGTACTGATGATGGCTCTTAGCGATTCAGCAGGCAATAGGGAGGACTCTGGGGGAAGCAGCATCCTCTTAAGATGCTGGGCCTCTGGCAACTCAGCTATGCCAGCCAGTGCCAGGGGTGGAAGGACCAAGAAAATCAAGTGAAAAGGGAATATATACTAATGGCATCTTTTAGAGGTTAATACTGCTTTGTAAAGTTAATAATGCTATTGCTAATAACCAGACTATTGTAAGTTTAAAAAGCGTTTCTTAGAAGGGATGAGTTATACCAGCCCCAAAGATGTTCCAGGTGCACTCCATAGGCGTGGGGCCACAGAGATGCTCAAAGACGCGGTTTTTAGGAAACAGAAAAGACTAGTTTTCCAGGACAGAAGGACAGATGTAGGCCAAACTACAACCATTTGTCTGAATTAAGCTGGGTCCAGAGGCCAAGAAACAATCCCGACAATCCTGAAGTACATCCAGAGATGCCTAACTCAGTTGTTTCCTATTCTGCCCCATTTCTACAATTCACCTGTTCCTAATAAGGACAGAAAAAGAAAAGGCCAGCTGTGAATCTCTTTTTTTTAGCTATACAGTGAAGCCTAAAGTTTTTCTGCAACATCTCTAGACCTTGGGAAAGTAAAACTGAGATTCTTCATATTAAAAATATGAGAGATCTACTGTAGATACCAGATGGGTGCATTAGTGGATGCGTGGATGGATAGTGGATAGGTGAATGAGTAGATGGGTTGGTAGATAGGTGGATGGATAGATGAAAGCATGAAGAAAATTATTCTATTGATGCCTTCCCAGGTTTTAGTGCAAATCCTCCCTTCACTCTGTGTGGAACCCACTGTGAATTCTCTTGGGAACAGGACCAGAACAGCCAGGCACAAACACTTAGCCAGTGCAGCCACTCTGCTGCTGACCCAGTTTTTACCCAGACAACAAAAGGATGCGCAGGCCTCACCGAGTGGCTTTCAAACAATCAGCTTCTCCAGGAAAATTAGCAGGAAAGCCTACCACTAAACACATCTCAGGTGGTGGAGGGGCCCTAACAGGGTGAAAGGCCTGTTTGCAAGGGAGGGGTCCTCTGGCATGTGACACCTTTAGAAAGTCTAGATCTCTCGGCAAGAAGCTGTTAAACTGGGGTAAACCTGTGGTCATCTCAGTTCTGCTGACCCAGCCTCTCTCAGTCATAAAGTGTTGAGAGCGTCATGTAGTTTAGGGAACTCTGAACTGAACATGAGAGGCCGATGGTTGAATGGGGGATGCTCTGGCATCATTGTGGAGTTGAAAGTCTTAGAAGACAGTTAAGGCGGGAACTCCCTAACTTTGGTGTGGCAGCCAAGTTAGCCGGTTCCAGCACAGTGGCTTGACCTAGCTGTGCAGTCACATCCTCTCCAGTCAGCCCAGCCCTGCTACCTCCATGAGCCTCTTCACACCAGCTCTAGAGGACGTTGGGTACCAATTGACACTCAACAAGATTTCTCCGGTGGCTGCTGGGCCTGTTGCATGCTTTGGGAAATGTCCCCTCCGGAGGCTGGCAGAAAAACAGATGAGAAGCCCTTCAGCCAGGAGGGAGGTCTGGCTACACAGGAAC